ACACACACACACACACACACACACACACACACACACACACACACACAGTCTCAGGTTACAATATTCTATTAGTTTCAACATAAAAGATTTGCTTCCACTTCCAGACTTCAATAAAGACAGTTCTTAAGGAATAGGTTATGTTGTGAGAAAAAAAAAAAGTGCTGTAATTAAATTAGAAACAGGGTGAGTGTCCATCAATCAGAATACTGGCTAAACAAACTGTGGTATGTGAGTGCAATGAATTACTATTACATCAGAAGAATAGACTACCATGAAAATCTCAGAGAAATTTGGCAAGATTTGTATAAACTGAAGTAGGGCAAAGTAAGCAGAACAAAGAGAATAATGCGCACACACACACACACACACACACACACACACACACACACGATGATATAAAGGAAAACAATACTAAAAGACATTGAAATTCTGGTCAATGTATCATTCCAAAAGAATGATGATGAGATATACCTCCCTTCTGTAACGTGAGAGGCAGTGTGCTACAGGTGTGAAAAGAGGAATACATTGTTCAATAAAAGTCTGTTTTCCGTAACTGTATTTTTTTGTTAGATGGGAATCAGGAAGACCTGAGTCGCAATACCACCTCACTTACTAGTTGTGTCACTTTGAAAAAATCATCTAAACTTTCTTGGTTTCCTTTATCTGTATAAGATGTAGACAATAATAGCATCTACCTACATTCCACAGCTGGTTGTGAGGAACAACTGAGATAAAAGACAAAACGTACTTTTGTAAACCTTAAAGTAGTATATAAATCGTAATTATTATAATTAAATAATGAGATTTTTAAAATTTTTTATTTTTTTAGGCAATTGGAGTTAAGTGACTTGCCCAGGGTCACACAGCTAGTAAATGTCAAGTGTTTGGTCTGAGGCCGCATTTGAACTCAGGTCCTCCTGACTTCAGGGCCAGTGCTCTATACACTGCGTCACCTAGCTGCCTCCCCCCCCCTTTTTTTAAAATTTCTTTTTCTTTTCTTTTTTTTTTGGTGAGGCAATCAGGGTTAAGTGACTCACCCAGGGTCACACAGCTAGTAAGTGTCAAGTGTCTGAGACCACATTTGAACTCAGGTCCTCCTGGTTCCAAGGCCAGAGCTTTATCCACTATGCCATCTAGCTGCCCTAATAATTAGGTGTTTTGTTTTTAACAAACCTGTTTCAAATACAAAAATGGCTGATTTTGAAAAGGAGTTTGGAGTGAGGTAGAGTATGCAGGGCACTTGCAGAATAACATGGATATGAATCTGTAACTAGATAAATATTTAATCACTAGCTTCACAGAAACTCTTCCATCACTCCCTTAAGGAGATTCTTCCCTGACAAAGCTAGAGCTTTGGACCTGGCCCCAGGAAGTCCAGCTTGACTGATCCATCAACAGTTTGGTCGAGAATGGAGCCAATTTCTGGGTCTAAGCTGGAATCAACGAATTTCCCTAAGGTCTACTGATAGCAAAGGTGCAATTAATACTCCCCTGGGTTCACCTCTCTAAGGTATCCCTAGTATTAGACCAATTTCTACAGAAGGAGAAAACAAGTTACTCATATTGTTATCTTGTCTTTTTTTCCCACTGCTCAATTTTCAGACAGACATATAAATCTTTCCTCACCATAAATTCAAAGATGTTAAACATCAGGACAAACAATCCTTTCTCTAGTGTAGCAATTTTATTTTTTTAACTATCTTTCAATTTATTATTTATTTTTAGCATTCATTTCTTTTGAAATTTTGAGATCCAAATTCTCTCCCTCTCTGCCACCCCCTTCCCCCATCCACTGAGAAGGCAAGCAATATGATATCAAAAATACATGTGAAATTGTGCAAAACATATTTCCGTATGAGTTACCTTTTTTTAAAAAGCAAGAAAAAATAAAGTGAATAAATGATACTTCAATTTGCATTCCGTTTATCAGTTTTCTCTCTAGAGGTAGATAGCATTTTTTCATCATGAATCCTTTGGAATTGTCTTGGACCATTGTATTGATCAAAGTAGCCAAGTCTTTCACACTTGATCATCGTTACAACATTGCTGTTATTATGCACAAAGTCCTCCCAGTTCTTCTCCCTGCATTTTGCATTATTTCGTATAGGTCTTGCCAAGTTCTCACAGCACAATAGTACTCCATCACAATCACATGCCACAACTTTTTTAGTCATTCCCTAACTGAAGAGTATCCCTTGGATTTCCAATTCTTTACCACCACAAAAAGAGCCGCTATAGATATTTTTGTACATATAGGTCCATTTCCTTTTTCTTTGATCTGATTGGGATACAGACCTAGTAGTGGTATTGCTGGGTCAAAGGGTATGTACAGTTTTATAGTCCTCTGAGCCTCGTTCCAAATTGTTCTCCAGAAAGCTTGGCCCAATTCACTACTTTAGTGTATCTATTTGTTAGTGTATCTATTTTTCCCTCATCCTCTCCAGCATTTGTCATTTCTGATAGGTATGAAGTGGCACTTCAGAGTTATTTTAATTCCTCTTTCTCTAATCAATAGTGATCTAGAATATTTTTTCATATTACTATAGATAGCTTTGATTTCTTCTCCTGAAAACTGCCTATTCACATTCTTTTAATATTTATCAATTAGAATGGCTCTTATTTCCATAAATTTGACTCTGTTCTATACTCAGTATATATTTAAGAAATGAGGTCTTTATCAGAGAAATTTGCTGTAAAAAATTTTGACATTATTTCATTCTCTATGGTACCTTTTAGCATAATGTCCTTTCCCTGACTACCTCTTTTAATTAGGTTTATTTTTACTTTTGTTTTGTCTGATTACTACCCCCTGCCTTTTTAGTTCAGCTTTTTATTTTTAGTTCATATTAGAATCGGTTGCCCCAGCTCATTATTTTAATTCTTCACGAGCCTTTCTGTTTCTGTTGTAAACAACATATTGTTCGATTCTGGCTTCTAATCCATTCAGCTATCTGCTTCTGTTTCATGGTTGAGCTCATCCCATTCACATCAACAGCTATGATTTCTGTATATTTCCCTCCATTCTATTTTCTTCTCTTTCGCCCATCCCTCTTCTAAAGTCTATTTTGCTCCTAATCACTGCCTGCTCTTAATCAGTTCTCCATTTTATCTTTCCTACCCCCCATTCTCTTATCCCTTCTTATTCTATTTCCCTGTTGGGTAAGTTACATTTTTTTGTGGGATAGGTTATGCTTGGATGTAATTCTAGCTCCTTTTTCACTTCATTGGGTATATCATGGAAATGTGAAAAGCACTAAGGTTCCTTACTAAAAGAGGCTGAAGCAGCTTTATCAGAAGCATGTGGAAGGTAAATTACCTCCTGGAAATTACTTATGTATGTCTTATGAAGTTCAATTATAAAAGCATCTATCCAGATAACACAAGCTGTGCTTCCAGCACTTCCTGACCGGAAGAGGACTCACAGTCTAGCATTCCTCCAGAGTTTAGAATGGCTAAAAAGGGAAAGGGAAGGCCCCAATGATACTGACAGAGGCAAACACAAAAAACAACCTAAAAGGACAGGGATGGCTCAGGAAGGAAGGAAGGGTAGGGGAAAGGTGGAAGAACACCAATGTGGACCAGACGTCACCTCAGTTCTCATGGGTACAGATTTCCATCTGGGAGTTCCTTAGAAAAGTCATACATATACAAACTGTGACATCAGAGAAAAGGTAGAAAGGATATTTTAGGAACATTTCAGACAAAGGAATAAGAGCACTGGACAAAAGCTATGGTTTGGGATAAAAAATATCATCTAGAAAACTCAATAAAAACCATTTTTAAATCTTTTAAATTTTATCGGCATTTATAATTCTCCTACAACATCACCAAAGTTAAATATAAATGTTTATGTACCTGGACTGGCAGAAGGAGAATCCATGGACCTTGATTCACTGCTTCCTCCAGCACTCTCTGAATCACTGCACATTCCACCACCTTGATGACCAACTGACCATGATCTGACAGGAGGTGGTCGCACTCTGACAGCTTTAAAAAATAAGATACTTGAAGATTTCTACAAAATAAAGCTATGACTCAGTGAGAGGCTAAAGCATAAAGCAAAAGCCTAATGCAAAATAAATCAGTCTGCAAATGCCATATTTAAATGTAGTTACTTCCTAATGTTTCAAGCAAATTAAAATTATTTAAAGTACAATCAGCTTTAAATGTAAAAATATTTTATTTAAGGCATTAATAGTTTTATTATATAAAAGGTTAAGGATTGGACCTATGATTTCATTGGTAGAGGGAAAGCCAAGAGGAGGAAACCCCTGGTACCAGTGTAGGTTGGCATCTTCTCTGCAACTGATAGTATGAGGGATTGCCTAGAGCATTGAGAAGCGGTTTGGCTTTCCCAAGGTCACACAGCAAGGAGATGTTAGAGGCAGGATATTTCTGTTTTCAAGGCCACCCATGTTGCCTCTCACTTTTATGTATATACTGATAAACATTTGCAAAACTTATGATCATTCCTTTTATCTGATTTATACATTTTCAGGGACATGACTAAGATTAAATAAAAAATAACTTCACTTGAACAAGTCAGTGCTCCTTAAAATATAAAAAATTACCTGGGATATCTAGGCTGCTACAGGACCTCTTATCTCCAATTTTTTTGGAATGGTAAACAGGCTTGCCAATATCTTCTAATAAATGAAATGTACAGTTTTCAGAATTCTGAGATACGTTTCCATGTGACCGATGTTGATTATTTGTAGACCCCTTACTTAAAAATCTAAGGGAAAAAATCCAACAACAAACATAGCCTGTCAATAGAGGGAAAATCTATTATTTATTTTATATGCAATATTTCAAAAGCACATTAGTTTCATAATGCAGTATTTATATTGTTGAATTTCAGAGAATGACTTCAAATGTGAACTCACTTTAAGAATACAATGTGGCTTAAGTGCTACAGAAATCCAAAAATATTCCAACACCATCACAATCTGATACCACTACATCTTTTAATTTATCACATATTACTCCTTTCCCTCTACACTGTCTATGATCCAGTCAATCTAAACCACTTTCTGTCCTCTTCCCTCTGTTCCTAAGCAGTCTCTGACTTCTCCTAGAATGGCCTTCCTACCTCCTCTTCCCTATTGAACAGTACTAACCCCATCCTTAAGGGTTCACCTTCAATGCTACTTTCTTGATGAAAACTCCCTAAACCCTTCTTAGACCTGACATACATGTTGCTGTGCAATTCTCTAATACACTTTCTATGTAATAGTGTGCACCACAGTCATAAGTCTTACTAGCTTATTCACCCCATTAGGGCAGGAAGCATGTCTTATCTTAACTGTAAATATCCCAAAGTATCTAGATAGCACAGTGCTTTATGTAAAGCAGAAAGTACTCAAAGAGTATTTGCTGAATCAAGAGAAGTACCACATAAAAATTTTAAAGTATATACAATTATGATTGGTTAAACATGTATGGACTAATTTAATAGTTAACAAGCACAATGAGCTAAACTATATCCAAATTTTTCTATTGATTTTCCCGAAATTCAAAAGTGAATAGGTCTAGAATTGTTTTTGAATTAAACAAAATCAGCTTAAAGTTAATGGCAGTCTTTATTTTTATCTGAATTGAGGAAAAATAAATCCCCACCAACACACAATCTATCACTTTCAACACATGTATTACTTTCAAAAGGGAGAGAAAAAAGATCAAATTTTGAAGCTCCTGTCAAAGGGAAAAAATCTACTCAAATTAGACTTGAATTTGGCAGTAAATGAACCCCCTTCACTAAATTTCAGTAACACATTAATTCTTACCCATCAATTTTGGAATTCTCAAAAAAACTAGATTTAATGTGAACATCATCCTTGGGTGAAGTTTTTGCCTTCACAAATTCTGCAAACTTTCGCCCAGGGTCACATAACTTGGCATTCTCACAGAGAGACTGGTAGTTAACTGGAAGAGACACAACCTGCTGATGTTGCAACTGGAAGAGGTTTACCACTGCCTATTTGTCAAATAAAGATAAAGCATAAGAATAATCAGAAACTTTTAACAAACAAGTCTTTAAATACATTTAGTTAAAAGTAACATCACACAATATTATTTACAACATCTAAACTCTCACCTCTTAGAGCTCACTAAAATGTGCTAGGATTTATTCATATAAATATCTCTGATATACAGACTTGATGACTCCCTGCAAAATTTATTTTAAAAGAAATTTTTAAGAAGGGGGGGTGGGGTGGAGAAGGGGCAAGCTTTTTCCTACTTTAAAAGGAACCTATCAGAAGACACCCTATTCTCCCCAAATGACTCAACATAACATGGACTCAACATAACAGCACTCTACTCACCCAGCTAGACACCTCCTGCCTAAAATCTTAACTTTGAGGTAATGACATAAATTCTCTACTTCAACAATTTTTTAAGATTAGAAATTTCACGTACTACTCCTAGCAGGACAGGCCAGCACAGTATGCATTTTCTCCACTTAGGTAATGCTTGTTTGTATTTTGAAAGTTAGCAACTATTGCTGTTTTTTCTGATTTGCGTTTTAGATTTTAAAAGATGAAAGTAGAAGGTGAAGAATTTGTAGCAAAGGAGAAGGTACAGTACACACACTTACTGTGCAGATTTGCCCAACAAAGGAAAATTCACAGCTAAAATTTTTACTCATCTGTACCACTACATTTTTTAAAAGACTGACTTTATTCATTATGCAAATATAAATTTTGAAAATAACTTGTGTTTAGAACATGAACATATATTTGGAAGACCACAGAGTCAATCTAGAAGGTCTTTCACTCACTGTTTTGTTCATTTATGCATTCATCTATTGGATTGTGTGAGAAATTGCAAAGCCCTTTTAATCACTCCAGCTCTAACAAAAGCAAAGGGCCATTTTTTCTAGTATTTTATTTTTTATTTTTCCCTAGTTACATGTAAAAACAATTTTTAACATTAGTTTTTTAAAACTTTCAGTTCAAATTCTTTCCCTCCCTCTCTACCCCACCACCCCCCATTGAGAAGGCAAGCAGTTCGATATAGGTTATACATGTGAAGTCACGCAAAACATATCTATAATAGTCATGTTATCATATAAAACATATACCAAAAAAAACCCCAAGCCTCAAAAAAAATAGAGTGAAAAAAACAAAACTATGCTTCAATCTATATTCAGACACTATCAGTTCTTTCTCTGGGGATGGATAGCACTTTTCATCCTAAGTGCTTCAGAGTTGTCTTGGATCATTGTAGTGCTGAGAATAGCTAAGTCATTCACAGCTGATCATCTTACAATAATGCTTTTAATTTGTACACAGTACATTTCACTTCGCATCAGCCCATGCAAGTGTTTCCAGGTTTTTCTGAGAGCATCCTGCTCATCATTTCTTTCTTTTTTTTTTAATGTTCTTTTTTTTTAATTTACTTTTTTTTATTTTTAGTTTTCAACATTTACTTCCACAAGATTTTGAGTTCCAATTTTCATCCCATCTCACCCCTCCCCCCACCCCAAGATGGCATACATTCTGAATACCCCTTCCTCTAGTCTGCTTTTCCTGTTATCTCTCCCCTCCTTCTCCTTCTATTTTCCTGTAGGGCAGTATAGATTTCTGTACCCCATTTCCTGTATTTCTTATTTCCCAGTTGCATGTGAAAACATTTTTTTTTAAACATGTGTTTTTAAAACTTTGGGTTCCAAATTTTCTCCCTTCCTCGCTCCCCACCCACCCTCATTGAAAAGGCAAACAACTCAATATAGGCTATACATGTGCAGTTATGCAAAACACTTTCATAGTAGACATGCTGTGAAAAACTAACTCTATTTCCCTTAATCCTATCCCGCCCCCCCATTTATTCTATTCTTTCTTTTGACCCTGTCCCTCCTCAGAAGTATTTGCTTCTGATTACCCCCTTTCCCAGTCTGCCCTCCTATCATCCCCCTACTCTCTTGTCCCCTTCCCCTCCTATTTTCCTGTAGAGTAAGACAGATTTCCATACCCAATTGAGTGTGTATGTTATTCCCTCCTTTAGTCAAATTCTATGAGAATAAGATTCACTCATTCCTTCTCACTTTCCCCCATTTCCCCTCCACTGTAAGAGCCTTTTCTTTTCTGTTTTTTTTGTGGGATAACTTACCCCGTTCTACCTCTCCCTTTCTCCTTCTCCTAGTATATTCCTCTCTCACCCCTTAATTTTATTCTCCAGATATGACTCCTTCATTTTCAACTCACCCTGTGCCCTCCAGCTATCTATCTATCCATCTATCTATCATATACATATAATATACACATACACATACATATAATTTTTTCCCTCCAACTACCCTAATACTGACAAAGGTCTCATGAGTTACAAATATCATCTTTCCATGCAGGAATGTAAACAGTTCAACCTTAATAAGTCTCTTATGATTTCTCTTTCCTGTTTACCTCTTCATGTTCCACTTGAGTCTTGTATTGGAAAGTCAAATTTTCTATTCAGTTCTGGTCTTTTCATCAAGAATGCTTGAAAGTCCTCTATTTCACTGAATGACCATTTTTTCCCCTGAAGAATTATACTCAGTTTTGCTGGGTAGGTGATTCTTGGTTGTAATCCTATCTCCTTTGCCCTCCAGAATATTATATTCCATGCCCTGTGGTCCTTTAATGTAGAAGCTGCTAAATCTTGTGTTATCCTGATTGTGTTTCCACAATACTTGAATTGTTTCTTTCTGACTACTTGTAATATTTTCTCCTTGACCTGGGAACTCTGGAATTTGGCTACAATATTCCTAGGAGTTTTCCTTTGGGGATCTCTTTCAGGAGGAGATCAGTGGATTCTTTCCATTTCTATTTTGCCCTCTGGTTCAAAAATATCAGGGCAGTTTTCCTTGATAATTTCTCGAAAGATGATGTCTAGGCTCTTTTTTTGATCATGGCTTTCAGATAATCCAATAATTTTTAAATTCTCTCCCCTGGATCTATTTTCCAGGTCAGTTGTATTTCCAATGAGATATTTCACATTGTTTTCTAATTTTTCATTCTTTTGGATTTGTTTTACAGTGTCTTGATTTCTCATAAAGTCACTAGCTTTCAATTGCTCTATTCTAATTTTTAAGGAAGTATTTTCTTCAGTAATCTTTTGGACTTCCTTTTCCATTTGGCCAATTTTGCTTTTTAGGGCATTCTTCTCCTCATTGGCTTTTTGGACCTCTGTAACCATTTGGGTTAGGCTATTTTTTAAGGTGTTATTTTCTTCAGTATTTTTTTGGGTCTCCTTTAGCAAGCTGTTAACTTGCTTTTCATGATTTTCTTGCATCACTCTCATTTCTCTTCCCAGTTTTTCCTCTACTTCTCTTACTTGCTTCTCAAAATTCCTTTTGAGCTCTTCCAAGGCCTGGGACTGATTCATATTTTTCTTGGAAGTTTTGGCTGTAGGAGATTTGACTTTGTTTTCTTCTTCTGGTTGTATGTTTTGATCTTCTTTGTCACCAAAGTAAGATAATATAGTCTGACTCTTTTTGCGCAGTTTGGTCATGATCCCGGCCAATTACTTGAGTTTTAAACTCTTTGTTAAGGTAAAAGTCTGCTTCCAATGTGGAGAATGTACTGCCCCAAGCTTCAGTGGTTTGTACAGCTGTTTTCAGAGATACTTCTAGGGACCTGTAAATTTTCAGTTCTTCCAAGGTGGTATGATAAGGGGCGAGGTGTTTCTTCTCCACCACCACAACAAACTCCATCACGCCAGCGCTCCTCCTCACCCCAGGACCGCCCCTCAGAACTGTGACCCAGATCCAAGCATGGGCAAAGCAAGAGATTCCTGCTTCAGACCTAGCAAAGAGATCCTTGCAATCCCCCTCTGATCAGTCTGTGGGCCGGAAGCTCTGGAGGCAGCCATGGCCCGCACTCGGGTCTTGTGGCTGAGACCTAGCTCCTTCTCTCGCTGCAGTCACATACTTTTCCCACTGACCTTCTAAGTTGTCTTTGGCATTCCTGGGTTGAGAAGTCTGGAAACCGCCCCAGCTGCCCATGATTCAGTCCTCTGAGGCCTGCTCCAGGTTTGCTGCAGCCTGCGCGCCCACGCTGCACTATGCTCCTCTCCCAGGCCGGCGCGATATACCTTTCCAATCAGCCATCCAGGTTGTCTTGGGCTGGAAATTTGTTTTACTCTGTTTTTTTGTGGGTTCTGCTGCTTTAGAATTTGTTTACAGCCATTTTTTATAGGTATTTGGAGGGGTTTGGGGGAGAGCTCTAGCAAGTCACTGCTTTCCCTCCGCCATCTTGGCTCCTCCCTCTCGTTTCTTACAGTACAATAGTTTTCCATCATAATCACATACCACATTTTGTTCAGCCATTCCCCAACTGATGGGCATCCCCTCAAGTGACAATTCTCAGACCCCAGAAATGAGCTGCTGTACAAATAATTTTGTACACATAGGTACTTTTTTGTTTTTTATCTCTTTTGAGATTTAGACCTAGTAGTAGTAGTAATAATAGCATTGCTAGGTCAAAGGGTATGCCTGGTTTTATAGTCCATTGGGCATAGCTCCAAATTGCTCTACAGAATGGCTGAATCAGTTCACAACTCCAGCAACAGTACATTAATATCTCATTTTTCCCACATCCCCTCCAACATATCATTTTCCTTTTCTATCCTATTAGCCAATCTAATAGGTATGAGGTAGTACCTCACATTTGTTTTAATTTGCATTTCTCCAATCAATACTGAGTATTTTTTCATATGGCTATAGATAGCTTTGATTACTTCATCTGAAAACTGATCATATCATTTGATCATTTATCAATTGGGGAATGGCTCTTATTTTTATAAATTTAACTCAGTTCTCTATATATTTGAGAAATGAGGCTTTTATCAGAGAAACTTGCTTCAAAATTTTTTTCAGTTACTACTGCTAACTGTATTTCCTTCCATCCTATCCCCTCCCCCATTTATTCAATTCTCTCTTTCCTTTTACCCTGCTCCTCCTCAAAAGTGTTTTGCTTCTGACTACCCACCCCCACTTACCCTCCCTTCTATCACCCCCCACCCTTCTCTTATCCCTTTCCCCTCTTACTTTCCTATAAGGTAAGACAGATTTCTATGCCCAATTAAGTATGTATGTTATTTCTTCTTTGAGTCAGTTCTGATGAGAATAAAGTTCATTCACTGCCTTTCACCTCCCCTTCTTCCCCTCCACTGTAAAAGTTTTTTCTTGCTTTTTTTATGTCAGATAATTTACCCCATTCTACCTCTTCCTTTCTCTTTCTCCAAGTATACTCCTCTCTCACCCCTTAATTTTATTTTTTAGATATCATCCCTTCACATTCAATTCACAACTATGCCCTCTGTCTATACATACTCCTTTCTAACTACCCCAATAATAAGAAAGGTCTTACAAGTTACAAATGTCATCTTCCCATGTAGGAATGTAAATAGTTTAACCTTTTTGAATCCTTTATGATTTCCCTTTCCTGTTTACCTTTTTATGCTTCTCGTGAGTCTTATATTTGAAAGTCAAATTTTCTGTTCAGCTCTGGTCTTTTCATCAAGAATGTTTGAAAGTCCTCTACTCTCATCAAATAACCATTTTTTCCCCCTGAAGGATTATATTCAGTTTTGCTAGGCAAGTGATTCTTGATTGTAATCCTAGCTCCTTTGCCCTCTGGAATATTTGATTCCAAGCCCTCCAATCCTTTAATGTAGGTCTTGTGTTATCTTGTGTTATCCTGACTGTGGCTCTACAATACTTGAACTGTTTCTTTCTAGATCAGAGCCCAGGAGGAAGGGCAGGACAAGCCACAAGATGATTTATATTTGTTCCTGGGGGTAATAGGAGAGCCCACTGGAGTTTACTGAACATGGGGGTGACATGGTCAGTTCAATGATTCAAGACAGTAGTGAGAATGCAATGAATACAACTTGAATTAGAATTAAAAAACAAAAAACAAAAAAACTACAATTCTTAAAGTTAAAAAAGTTACCTACTCAGGTAAACACTACTCTATTCCACCTCAGCATTCAGCATATTTGGCCACAGTAAGTCACAAAGGTGGTCAAGGTGTAGGGAGCAGCTGGAATTCCACTAAAGCCTTAGATACCAACTCTGCCCAGGCTTTTTATGCCTCAGATGGCAGAGAAGCCAATCAATGATGATGTCAAGAAGGGCCTTCTCAACTCCCTTCAAAGGAAACCAACATAGTCAAGATAAAACAAATACTGCTCCTACCACTGATGTCCACTGTGTATACTCTTGTCATACTAAATTTCTCAAAATGTTTTTCTCTCCTCTTGTTCAAATCCTACTCACCCTCTAAGGCTCAGGGCAGAGTACCACCAACTCTATATTCACCTTCCAAAATTATCTTCCCTTGGTCACAAGCAATGTTTCTCATCTCTAATTTCCTATGTCAATAATCTGTACCATACCACTGGGTAATTTATTTCATGGTTTATTAATTGTTAATCATTTCATGTTAGTTGCTCCTGGATCATTAAATAGATTTTAAGCTTCTTGAAGACAAGTATGTAGCCTTATACTTTTCTATGCACCAAAACAACTTACATAAAAAGCTTATGTCTTTTTTTTTTACATGTCAAACTATTTCAAGGCAATCAAATAAAAAAAGAAATAGTGATAATCAGATAAAAAGGAAACCTCAACACTGTTAGACTCCAACTCCTTCTCAATTCTCAATTTGAGATAAATTAAACTTGGAATTCTTGGCTGGAAACAATGGAGAAAAATGAAAACAATCAAGATCATTATTCTCTGTTCCCAAATTATCTTCCGCTCCACTTTGTAAATGGTTTAATAGTGTTCAAGAACAGCAACTAATACATTTGTAGTGTTGATAAAGCGCTGGTTAGGTAGCCAAATTAATTATATATCCCAATCTAAAACAGACTGAATTCTAAAAAACACAAGCAACCTAGTATTTCTATCCAAACCAGAGAGATAATTACCTTCAATGGAAAAACCTCACAATATAGTTGAGACATAAATGATGACAATAACTTACACGTGCATAGTGCATTTTATATTTTATAAAAGGAAGAGGAAACTCAACATTCATCACTAATTATATAAAGATGGCAAGTATATTTTACGATTCTACAGATAATCTGCAGGTTCAAAAACTAAACATAAAGGGTACCACAGATCAAAATTTCCTGTTAGTCTTCAAAGGATTCCTTTAGTTATACAAAAATCTGACAGCTTTTTCCTCCTTCCTTCCACACAGGTTCAAAAACATATTTAAGATTCAAGTCTTTTGTTTCCTTAAATTACTTACAGCTTTAAGAGTTAGATCACATTGGAAAACAAGTTCACGAAGTTGTGTTAAAATTTCACTTTTAGTATGGTCTATATCATTTTGCCTTTCTTCCATATCTATCATAACAACTTTGTAGTGTTCATTTGCTTCTTCAACCTGCAGGGAATATTAAAGGATAACAAAGTTAATAACAAGCAAAAGCATTTGAAATATCTTAATATGGACTCAATAGTTCTAACTACGGAATATTTGTTAAAAAAAAATGCAAAGTGACCATTCTTGACCTCAACTGTCATCATCTTAAGAGTTGAACAGCAGCATATATAAACTGCCCAACAGGTAAACTTCATGAACTGGCCTTATTTTATTTCACATACATACCCCACCCTTTCTAGCTGTTCTGTCTCTGGCAAAATACAGTAAAATGGGGGGCAGCTAGGTGGCGCAGTGGATAGAGCACCGGTCCTGATGTCAGGAGGACCTGAGTTCAAATCCAGCCTCAGACCAAACACTTGACACTTACTAGCTGTGTAACCCTGGGCAAGTCACTTAACCCCAATTGCCCAAAGAAAAAACAAAAAAATACAGTAAAATGAAATCATGAATTTGTTTGTTGCCGATGCTCCAACTTCCAGTGACCAGAAGGAAGACTCACTTTTTGCAGAGCCTCTTCTTCCAGCCTCCGCTTTTTCTCTAACTGCTTGCTGGCCTCTCTCCCAACACCTCCACTTGAGCTTTGGTGCTCCTCTTCAGCACGCTCTGTGGAAGACTTGGCTTTTTCATATTCAGTCTGCTGTTGTATACAGAAGAGTCTTGCCTTTTTGAGAGATGCCTCTGTCTCTTGCTATGTGGGGGAAAAAGACATTGAAACCCTGCATTATACATTCTTTCTGCACATCAGGTACCATAGCTACAAGAAAGCATTGAAAAGTATTGCATAAGGAAAGATACTTAAATACTTGGCAGGCATTTGCAGATGTGAGGCAAGGGAAGAACAAGCAGTAAGAAAGAAGGAATGGTTACTATCATATTTCACTGTGATACAAACCATTTTCTTCTGTTCTCGTTGCCAAAGCTCTTTAATTGCTTTCCTCTGTTTATCCAATTCACTTTTTCTCCCAAGGAGAGGCTATCAAAAAAAAAATTGCTAGGTTTTTTTTTTACAAGTAAACATTTACAAGTAAGTTATTTTTTAATTTAAAAGCAAGAGAAATTACAAACGCATTTAACTTTTTACCTGAACAAATTTGTTGGCTTGAAGAGCTGCTGCTGTTTGTTGTGAAAGCTGACTGTTCTCAATATCATTATCAAAAGCATTTAAGAATAAAGCTCGGAATGGCATAAACTCCTAAGATTTAAAATAGAAAAGTCAGTTCCAAAGTAGATATGTGGCTAGGTCATGAAGAAGGAGCTCTGTGAGCCAAAGAAGTGCTATGAGAAACACTGGGCCCATACCTCTAGCCAGCAACAAACTGAATTCCATGTTGTAAAGACAACTTATTTAAGCTTCATTCAGAGTATACTTTCTGATGACTGAAATCAGGGTTAATAATGATTATGACAATGATCCTTGTAAAAAATTAATTCTAAAGCTAAGGATTAAAATTTGTTTTGGCAGAGAAAAGAGTATCCCATCCTAAAAAGAATGTACACCAAAACACTACTGTCTTTGACCAATGAAGTTAGCTCCTACTTTTCCTACTTTAAAAGGAACCTGTCAGAAGACACCCTATTCTCCCCAAATGATTCAACATAACATGGACTCAACATAACAGCACTCTACTCACCCAGCTAGACACCTCCTGCCTAAAATCTTAACTTTGAGGTAATGACATAAATTCCCTACTTCAACAATTTTATAAGATTAGAAATTTCATGTACTACTCCTCTAGCAGGACAGGCCAGCACAGTATGCATTTTCTCCACTTAGGTTATGCTTGTTTGTATTTTAAAAGCTAACAACTATTGCTGTCTTTTCTGATTTGCATTTTAGATTTTATGCTTCACAATCAAATATTTCCATTCAATTAAGGATAGGTAGTTAACAAAACTCTTAAGCTACCAACTCGTTTTCAAACCTCAGAAGTTCACAATTACCTGGAATCCAATAATGCTTTTAGTTGTCTCTGCCATCTTTGCAATGTTTCTAGCACATTCCAACTCTGGAAGGGAAAAGTTCTAATTAATTGTCATCTTTACAACAAAAGCCATAGATGTTTCTATTTCACAATACAATAAAAAATTATATGGATCACATGACCAACAAAATGGAAAACTAGATATCTTCTTTGATCTTCACAACTCTTGAACATCTCCAAAATAGGAATTATGCACAAGAGATAAAGTTATTTCAGGCATCTCCAAGTCTAGGACACCAGGGTCCAAACAAGGTAACAATTAAGTGAACTAACAGCAAAGAAGGCTAATCTCTAGCTCTTAAAGTGCTCACTCAGCACTCCTTTCCCCCACCATCCACCCAGCTCTGAAAGTAGAGCTACAGAAGCCAATCCATGGGCTAGCAACTACACTCACATTCCCACCAATGCCACAGAAAACCAAAAGGGAAAAGATTACTCAGGCAGGAGAGCTGTGCAGTGACAGACCTCAATCAGAAAATGAGGAACTGGGGCAGGTTAGATGTATGTGGCTGTGAGGCATTCCACTAAGCCTGAGTAAAAAGCCCAGCATACAGCTGAGACCAGTTCTGTTCCTCCTGAAGTTATTTGAGGCAGAGACTGAAACCAATAAACCATGAACTGTCTAATACGGCAAGAGACTGAGACAGCTTTGAGGTCCAGTTCCTAGGAAACCATACTCAAATAGGGAGAGAGTTAGAAGGCGAGCTCAATTTACGATCTTGAGCATGAGAAGATATTAATAAAAAAAGGGGACTAGGAACTCCAAATCACCTACAACAGTACAGGCATCAATGAATAAACATTCATTAGATACCACTTGATGAAGCGGATGACCTATGGATTCTCAAGATAACATAAAACCACAGAAGGATATTTCTGAATAGATTTTTTAAAAAAAGAAATAAGAATAATACAAGCAGAATATATGGCCTACACTACAGAAATAATTGGCAGGCTAGGAAAACATAAATGTACAATAACAAGTATAAACAAAGAAAGAAAAGCAACAATAAGTGTAAATGCAAATACACTAAAGACAACTGGACAACTGGGAAGAAAAAAAGCAAAAATCAGTAACATTGGAAGAAAACATTGTATCTAAATAAGAGAAAATATCAATCTCAAAGACTCAACTTAAGGATTCTGGGTCTCTCAAAAGAACACAACAAATCAAAAAACCAGAACACAATAATGCAAAAAATAAGATAAGAAAAGTGCCCAGAAATTCTGAACACAGAAAACAAAGTGCCAATTGAAAGAATCCACAGATCACCTCTAGGGAAAAAAGAAAGAATACCTATGCTATAAACTCTTCCCAAAAAACTTCATAGTAACTAAATTTAACAACTCCACTGATAAACAATAAATCCTGCAAGTGACCAGGAGAAAGACTTTCAAACACAAAAGAAAGAATATACAACTAACATAAGACCATTCTGTACCTACCAGAAAGCACAAGAGTGAATGGAATAGTGCTCTGAAGAATAAAGGAGCTCAAGATATAACAAAAGATGACCTACCCTGCAAACCTGAGCCTGACAGTCAAAAAAGATGTATACTCCTTTGAAAGAAGCTTTTAAAACATTTCTAGAAAGATCAGATCTGAAGAAATTATTTGCCTTTCAAAATCCTCAGATATACAAAAAAGATAAACAAAGTTACCAAAGACAACAACAAAACTACGACAACAACGAAGAGACAATTAAGAAATTGCCTTCTAAAGGCACAAGGAGACAAGGGTGAAAACAAGTCAAATAGAAGCGATGGTTGAAAAATAGCCCTAAAACATCACGGACTAATAAATCTCATAACACCCTGCTTATAGGTAAATCAATGCTTTTGGGGGGGAGGGAGAGGTTTGTGGGACTAAATTACAGAATGGGAGAGTGCAGAAAATGGGGGAGGGAAGAAAAAACAGGGAATAAGGGATGTATTCTTATCAAATCAATGGTTAATAATTACAGGAAAAATAATTCCTGTAGTCTCTCAGGAAGATGAGAGCCTACAGGAGAATGGATGAGGAAGCAAAGTGAAGGACTGAAGAAGGAAATCTTACTTCAGTAGTGGGAGAGGGTAATGCATGTTCCCTGAGAGAAGACAGATTCTATAAAGGAGAATGAGGATCTTACAACAGGTATAACCTGAAAGATTTAGGACTTAAAGAAATCACTCATTCTGCCTCAAGAGAAGGTGAATCAGAGTTCCTAGAAGCAACTGACAACAGTGGGAAGGCAAGGAGCCAAAGAAGAAAGTTCAAGTGAAATCGGCCAAAAATGACCATGAAAAAAGAGGCAAAGGTTAATAATAAACTGCAAAATCAGGGACAGTAGGGACAAATTCCTACACTAGGGCAATATTCTTATCACCTGCTGAAATTGGTATTTCTAAAAATGAGGCATAACAATAAAAGAGGGCCAGGAAATAAGATCTGTAAGACAATAACATACAAACTGTTCAGAGTAAGGAACCCAAAATAGGAATCTTAAAATCTTTAATTCTATGAGGAAAACAGAGACTAACAAGGAATAAGTATAAGGTCCATGAATCAAAGAATAAAAGTCTAAAATAAACAGAAAGGGAAGATAAATAATGAAGAGAACAAGGGAAAGAAATCCTTTTTTAGAAAAAAGTACAAAAAATGAAATTAATAAAACAGAACAAATTGAAGGGTAAGAGATGAAGATTTTACTTGAGAACTTAACGGAGAGGGGAAAAAAAGGAATAACTAGATAAAAGAAAATAGAATTAATAAGTTAGGCAAAACTCAATACTAGGAAAAGGGATAATAAATGATGTAGAGGAAGAGAGGTTTAAGGATAATGGAAAAAAGGCCAGTAGGAACAGGGTTGCCTTAAAATTCATTAAGGCTAAAATAAATAAAAGACATAGTACTGTGTTTACAGAGAAAGAGAGTAAAAAATCCAAATTTGGAAACATAAAACAGTATCTGAAACAAATGGAGGAAAATATAATTTTCCTAAATTCTCAGAACTTTAAATGTGAATAGGTTAAGCAACATAATAAAATGAAAAGGAATGACAGAAGAGATAAGAAAACAAAACCTCTCAATCTGTTGCAGCACCTAGCTACCCAGGGACATATTAAGACCATTTCATTATTTCAACAATATGAAACATAATTATTTTTACTTTCTTCAAGGAAACTACAACTAATATGTAAATCACATTAGTGATGATTCTGTCAGACAATTCATGAATAGTTTAATTCTACAATAACAAAGCTGATTAAAATGCCTCAAAGAGTCACTTACCCAGACTAATTTTTTTCTCAACCCACGTAACTATATCTTTGGTATATTTTGACCACATTTTAGCATATGACAAAGCCAATTCAACTCCATCATCATTTCTCAGAAGCATGCTATCCAGTTCTTTAGGCCACAGAGGTCCTGAAAAAGAAAATATTAAATGTAGAATATATTTAAATACTACCAGGAAAGTTGGTATCAGTTCTCTAAGCAAGAAGAGCAGTTCAGATGATCTCTAACGAAAACTGATGCTAATACAGCTGAAAGGCTTTTAGGACAACTTAAACACCAAAATAATTTGAATAATATTTCTGTCTTTCTATATTAGTTTTTTCTTCCCTCTAAAAAAAAGCTTTCAAGTCATAAAAACTACATCAGTCCAGATCAGACCCAGCTTTAGTTTCATCCATTTCCAAATGAGAGTAATATGGAAACTCTACTCAGTTGGAGAATGACTACAATGTTAGCAAGTAGACATATTTTTTTAGCAAGTACACTAATTGAAAAGGAGAAATGCCAAAAGTGTAATGTAACACATATTCTTTTTTTGTTTGTTTGTTTGTTTTTTGGCTAGGCAATGGGGTTAAGTGACTTGCCCAGGGTCACACAGCTAGTAAGTGTTATGCGTCTGAGGCCGCATTTGAACTCAGGTCCTCCTGAATCCAGGGCTGGTGCTCTATCCACTGCACCACCTAGCTGCCCCATAACACATATTCTTAAGTACCTTGAAGACTGTCTTTTTCATGAAGCAATCCCACTGATTCCAGAGAAATGTTTTCCAAGGACTGCAATGTAAACAAAACACAAAACCTACAGATTAGAGGAAAATAAAAGCTACACAAAAGAATTTAGTCCACCCTTTAAAAGATTTTTTTATGCCTAACATTTCCTTCTCCAGCTCATATTACAGATAAGGAACTGAGCAAACAGGGTTAAGTGATTTGCCTAGGCTCATACAGCTAGTAAATATCTGAGGCCAGATTTGAACTCAGAAAGATGAGGTTTCCTGACTTCAGGCCCAGCCCTCTTATCTACTGAGCCATCTAGCTACCTGGAGCTCTTCATACAAACCTGAACACTAATAAATTAAGAAACAGGAAACAATGGATACATACCAAGAAAGAGCAACCTCTTCCCTCCATCTTTTATCTTTGTCTTTCTAGGCATATAAGCAGTATTTCCCTAAAAACTTAATATTTTTAGCTAGGATTAAATATGTAACAGCAACTCATTTTTGTACTTTCCCCTGAACTGAAACTTATTTGATTAATTAGCACAGATTAATGTTTTGGGATTTTCTCCTAATCATCAAATGGCCTTCCTGACACAAATTCTGTCAGTATAAATTGAAAAATGACACTTTTTAAAGGAAAACAGAATTGTAAAAAGGAAAAAATACTTTTAAGAAAAATAACCACCACACCTCCCAAAACAAACCCAGGAATTATATGAACAAAATCATAAAAAAAACTTGGTATACAAATAAAATTAATTTAAATAGAGAAATATATTAATTGTTCATAAGTAGGCAGGGCCAATACAAATAACTATTTTATCAAAATTTATATATTCAATGCCATCCCAATTAAATTATCAAAAAATTATTTTTCTGAGCTAGAAAAAATAACAAAATTCATTTGAAAGAACTAATGGTAAAAAGATACAAAAGAAGGTAGTTTAACAGTACCAAATCTTAAACTACACTATAAGATAGTAATTATCAAAACTATCTGGTACTGGCTAAGAAATAGAAAGGTAGATCAGTGGAACAGAGTACACATACAAGTTACTGCAGCAAATGAATACAGTAATTGAGTGTTTAATAAGTTTAAAGACTTAAGTTTTCTGGACAAGAATTAATTATTTGGTAAAAATTGTTGGGAAAGCTGGAAAGCATTCATGCAGAAATTGAATATAGACCTATATTTTATACCATTTACCAAAATAAGGCCAAAATGGATACATGACCTAGATATACAAGGAGATATTTCAAGAAAATATGAAGAACATGGAACATGTTATCTATCAGACTTATGGATAGGTGAACAAACAAGAGATACATACCATTTTGAAATGTAAAATAGATAATTCTAATTACACTAAATTAAAAAAAGCTTTTGTACAAATAAAACCAATGTAGCCAAAATCAGAAGGAAAGCAGAAAACTGGGGAAAAAAATTTTACAGACAGTTCCTCAGATAAAGGTCTCACATCTCAAATATATAAAGAACTATGTCGAATCTGTAATATGGTCATTCCCCAATTGATAAACTGTCAAAGGATATCAATGGAAGTTTTCCAATGAAGAAATCATAACAATTAATAGTTATAAGAAAAAATGCTCTAAGTTATTATTGACTAGACATTAAAACAACCTTGAGATATCATTTTACACCTATCAGGATTGGCTAAAATTATATAGAAGGGGAAAGTGACAAATGTTGGGACCTTAATTCATTGTTGGTGGATTGTGAGCTGATCCACCCATTTTGGAAAGTGAATTATGCCCCACGAGTTATTAAACTGCCTATACCCTTTGACCCAGGAATACCACTATTAGGTCTGTTTTCTAAGATAATTAGAGTAAAAAAAGAAGAACCTATATGTTCTAAAATACTTATAGCAGCTCTCTTTGTGGCGACAAAGAACTGGAAATTGCAGAAATGCTTGTCAATTGAGGAATAGCTAAACAAATGGTGATATATGTTTGTGATGGAATATTACTCTGTTATAAGAAATTATGAGCTCAATGATTTTAGAAAAACATGGAAAGACTGGCACAAAATAATGAAAAACAAAATGAGCAGAACCAAAACAATGTTGTATATGATCACAATAATATTGTTTTAAGAACAACTTTGAGTCACCAGGTCATTCTGACTATTATAAATACCCAAATTAACTATAAAGGTCCTTCCTGTCCTATGAAGAAAGTCACTGTTTGCATCCAGAAAAATAAATCACACACACACACACACACACACCCCTAATAGTAGCCACGTCTAGGGTGAGTAGAGGGAAAGAAAGTTACATGATAAATTTGTTGCATTTTTAAAAGGAACAGCAAGTTGTACATAAAAGATGTGCAGTTTCAGGTGCAATCCCCCTTTTTTTTATTCCCCTTTGTTATAGAAATGCTTATTTTATTTCTTAAGTTCAGAATAAAAAAATTAATTAAAAAATAAAAATAACCACTAGCTGAAAAACTATAAATAAACATTGGCAGGGAGGCTAAGGTGATTGGCGGGAAGCGGTACTCAAAAAATTTATTTTACCCAAATCCAAGATGATTTTGTTTTCATTTTCTAAATCTCTGTGAGATTTAGATAGTCCTAAGAAAATAAACTAATTTAATTTCTCATTTTCTAGAGTTAAGAGAAACAATTCTAAGCGAAAATACTATGGCATTGATGAACTGCAAATTAACTGAAGATCTTAAAACTGATTAACCTTCTTGCTTTTATCACCAATCAATCCTCACAGAAATGGTTACATAATCTTGTATGGCAACTAGGTTGCATAACAAATACACCAAAGTTTCATTCACATTTTGTACAATTTCAAAAAAGACTTAAGGAATTCATTAGCAATTTACTTATTTTTTTATTATTTAATAGATTTATTTATATTGTAGGCAGAATAATGACAGAAGAAAAAAGTGTTCTCCCCACCAAATAATGAAACTGAATAGGAACATAACAATAGTCATTAAATGCTAGATACTGGCCAAGGAATAACCAAACAATCAACAAGTATTTATTAAGTACCTACTATGTGCTAGACACTGTGTTAGACATTGGGGATACAAAAAGTTAAAATAATTCCTACTCACAAGGAGCTTCCATTCAGATTGTGGGAGGGTGAATTTCAAAAAGAATACATATAAGTATACACAGAATGTAAAGAGAATAAACACAAATTAGTTAAACTGAAGGTAGTCTAGGAAAGAGGAAAGCAGCTGTTTGGGCGATCAGGAAAGCTTCAGGTAGAAAGTAGTAATAATGTGAGCCTTAGAGGAACAGAGGATTCTCTGAGGGATTCTTGAGATTCATGCAGTGCTGGAAAGTTTGTGTTGTGGGGGGGGGGGGCGAGGGGTGGGGGGGGGGGGGGGAATAGGAGAGCGGTGGGGGGAGAGGGAAATAGCACAGCGATGGGAGAAAACAGAGAGAAAGCAGTTTGGCTAGGTCACAGAGCTCAGGCAGATGCATAATATCCATTGAGACTGAACAGAGATGAAAGGGGTTTAAATACTAAACAAAGGAATAAATTTTTGATCCCAGAGGCAACAGGAAGCTACTAGAGTTGGTGGAGCAAGGGTGTCATGTGGTCAGATTTACACTTAAGGAAAACTACTTGGGTAATAATGTGTGGGATGGACTTTAGTGGGACGATACTTGAGGCTGAAAGACCAATCAGAAGGTGTTTTCAGTAAGCTAGGCAAGAGGTGCTAAGGGCCTGAACTAAGGTGCCCACTGTGAGTAAAAAGAAGGCACTCAAGGATGGGAGAAATGTTGTGAAGGCAGATTTAAAAGATCAGGTAATGGACTGAATGGGGAGGGTAAAGGTGGTAGTGAGGAGTTGCAGAGAATGCCAACGTTATGAGAAACTAGGACTGGAAGAATGCCAGTGCCTTTAAGAGAAATAATAAAGTTTGGAAGAAGAAAGGGCTGGGGAAAGATGACTAATCCCATTCTGGTAACATTAAGTGTGAGACGTCCTGGGGACATCCAATTTGAAATACTCAATTGGCAGCCGGTCATGTGAGACTGCAGCTCAGGGGTAAGCCAGGCACTGGGTGTATACACGTGGGAATCATCTTCACAGACACAAGGGAGCTGATAAAGCTATTGAGGGGGGAAGAGAGGTTGAGAGGGAAAGGGCATGAGAACAACTGAGAGGGTGAGGAGGAGAGGGAGGAGAAAGGAGAGAGAAGAGGACCTTGGGCAGAACCTTTGGGAACACTCACAGTGACACTGTGTGATACCGGTGATTAAAGGAGACAGCAGGAGCCACCAGACAGAGAGGAGAAAACCCCAAGAGAACAGGTTAACAAAAACCCAGAAAAGAGAGAGAGAGTAGTCAGCAGTGCCACGTGAAGCAGACAGGTAAAGAAGGATGAGGACTGAGGGGAAAAAAAAAGATCTTTTGATTTGACAAATGGTAAATCTGGGGAGAACAGTTTCAGTTGAGGGATGAGGTCAGAGGCCAGATTCCAAAAGGCAGAGGAGTGAGTCCCAAGAGAGGAAGGGAAGCAGTGAATGTTTCCAACTTAAAGGATGCAACTTTTTTTATGGGAACCACTGAAGATGAGCGAAACCCACGGGTCCATTTAATTTCACACTGATTCTCACTCAATTAATCATATTCCTTAATCTAGCTGAAGAACACCAATTATTATATGGCAACACTTTCTTAAAATTTTCTCAAAACACAGGAAAATAATTCTCCACACTCAAGCCTAAATACCATTTGTACAACCAAGGCAATGAGATCTTTCATGATATAGACCCCAAAGCAATAACTTTCTCAGTTTTATTTCTTTAGTCTTAACTCATCCCCATCATTCTTTGTTTGTTTTTGTTTTTTGCTTTTTGGTGAGGCAACTGGGGTTAAGTTACTTGCCCAGGGTCACACAGCTAGTAAGTGTCAAGTGTCCGAATTTGAACTCAGGTCCTCCTGACACCAAGGCTTGAGCACTATCCACTGCGCCACCCAGCTGCCCCCCTCATCCTCATCATTAACAAAAAAAAAGTCAAAATCACAAATCTTGATCTGTGGATAACTGAATTATGTTTCATTTTTGGGGGAAATTTTGTATTCATTTTAAACTTAAAGACAAAACAAGAAAAGACAAAAAAAGGACATTTCTATGTACACAGCGGATCATAAGAGAGGATTCAATAGAAAACAATAAATTTCTATTTCACGAAAACCTATATAATAAATATTACACATTGTTTTCAAAGCTACCCAGCTTTTCTTTGCTTCCTTCTAGGTTTTCTTTTGTTCTGCTGTGCACTTTTAACTTTTTTCTCTCTCCCTCCCCTCACAAACCCCCTGCCTTAAAGAAGGCTACAATTAAATGCAGATATATATACATATATACACAGATATCTATAAACACATACACTTCTGCATATATGAATGATGTCTTCCTACAAGGACATTTTAACTTGTTTTGGTTATACTGATTCTTCCACATGAAACATAAGCCATAGTTACTGTTAACTGAGAGTGAAGGTGTCACTTCAAATTGGCCTACTTGCCTAAAACACATTCTGACCTCCCCAACCTAAACAAACAACAGGCCACTCACACATAATTCAAGGTGGAAACAGTATTAATTTAATGCTAAGTTAAATGCTGAACTGACACCCTCCATGTTTCCCAGAAGCACAAAATTATTGCAGGGTTGGAAGAGACTTAAGATCCTGAAACCTTAAAGTATTACATAAAAGTGGTCAATGAGCTAGCTTTCCTCCTGCTTATAGTTATGTGAGTGAATTAGGGCATATTTTCCACACTTGCCAGCATAGATTTTCCTTCATCTCTCAAACAGAAATCAGAAACAGAAAGCTGAAAGGCATAACTAGGAGATAACATCTCCCCTAAACTAAGCTTCAACAAGGCCCAAGCTACGGCTTGACTTGACAACAAGAAAAGAAAAAGCACCCATGAGCATATCCTTAATTTAAAACCAGCACCTGAAAACTCAATTTCTATTTTTGGACACAGAAGCTCTGTTAAGCACCACAGAGTTTTTCTAATATTAGAATTTACAAATGTTTTGGAGTCTGCACTGGTGATTTCATCTATGTAAAGAAGTCCAAGTGAAGAAACTACTCTACCAATGCAGATCTTGCAACAGTTCTGAATTTCAACTCAGTCCTAACTAGGAGAGTGAGTCTGCTAGGGCACTGAGAGATTCAGTGATTTGCTGAGGGTCACAAAGCCAGTCTACGTGAGAGGAAGCACCTGAACCCAAACCTTCCAGACTCTGAAGTCAGCTCTCTATCCACTGTACCACACAGTCTCTTACAAAACACATATGTAGAGATTCTGAAGCAGGTTAAGGCCCAGATGATATTTTTAGTTAGTTTTTTAAAAGATCTTTTAGAGCTTAGATATTTCCTGTTATTTATCTTATCCTTGTGCTATCTGCATTATTATTATATTGCTAAGGAGATGTAATAAGAAGAGAATTTAACTCAATCAAGAGACTTTGATTTCCACTAATTCTGTCACCTGTAAGTCTAAATTCCCTGGCTATTATTTCCCTAGTAAAAGACTGGGATAGCATGTAGCCCTGACTATTAATCAAATGACAGGAAAACAATATAAAATGGACAACAAGCAACTCTGAAAACAAAAGGTGGTCATAGGAAAAAGAAAAAGGTCAAAGGAAAACAGGAGGTCCTGCTACTGCTCTTCTCTCACTCATACCACCTTCTGCTTTAGAGTTCTTTCAATCTTAAGTTGACTACCTTTTATTCTCAACTAAGACACCAGATGTGAAGACTGCTCTCATGCATATAATCTCTCAATTAAATTTCAGGAAAGAAAAGTGAAAAAAGAAAAGAAAAGAAACAGTAAAGATGCACGGTTTTTCAGATAAAAAGGAAAATGATGAAAATAGAAACTCTTCATTCTCTCAAAAACTGAGTGGAAGCCTAAGAAGAATGCTTCAAATAGAAGAGGAAAGTTACAGAAAGCATCAATTTAGCCCTGCCAACTAACAGTGCATCTCTAAGCAATAGGTCCTGTGGAGATGATTTATTACAATGAGCACACTGCTGAAGAATGTCAGAACACCAACCTATTATTTTATCATCGCTCAAACTGTGTTTCACCACTGTGACTCAGTGATCTCAATCATGCAATCCAAGATCACTGGAAAATTAACTCTTCACATTCATTAGCTGAGATCAGGGATTGGCATGGCCTGAGAGCCACCCTCCTACCTGTTTCTGTATGGCCTGTGAGCTAAGAAGGGTTTTTACATTTTCAAATACAGCATTATTTTAACACATAAAGACCATTCTTATCTTGGCAGCTGTAAAAAAAAAGGTCCCATGGGCCATAAACTATGATAAATGCACACTTCTCTTGGACATAGCTCACAAACTTGTAAAAACTCTGGCTTAGAATTGGTAAGACCAAGTCACAAATTGGTGAAAATTAGTCCTCATTTCATTTTAGATCATTGCTACATTCAAATATAGGGCAGCTAGGTGGTGCAGAATAGAGTGAAGGGCTAGGAGTCAGGAAGACATATCTTCTTGAGTTCAAATCTGGCCTCAGATACTTACTAGCTGTGTGACCCTGAGCAAGTCTCTTAACCCTGATAATTCAGTTTCCTCATCTGTAAAATGAGCTGGAAATAGCAAACCATTCCAGCATCTTTGTCAAGAAAACTTCAAATGGGGTCACAAAAAGTCACTCAATTGAAAAGACTGAACAACAATAATATTAAATGTGCTCTAAAATACACACAATTCTGTAGACTTCTCATTATAAATAAGCTGTACTACCTTATTTTAAGTTTTGTATATAGTTACACAGTGATCAAATGAAAAAATCAAATTTACCAACAGAGCAGCTATAAAAATGCTTTTAACTGTTACATTTAAATTAGTTAAATTCATGTCACACTTCAGAATCTATTTCAGATTTCAAGTTTCAATTTTTAAAATATACTTATTAGTTTCCTTTTAAAATTATACACAAGAAATATTTTACAAATTTCTCTATTTGCTCAAGTGTCAGTTGGAAGACAATGATTAATCTACAGCAATTTTTGTTTTAGTAAATTGGGGAGTAGGACTTCCCCTCCCTCTATCCCAAGGCATGGTTAAAGTGGAGTTTTAGGGAAGAATCCCACTGATAGCAGCTGAAGAGCTCTTAAGAATTGTTTGGTGATGGGAGAGACAACCTGTATGACATTTGAATTGAGACATTCTTAGCTATGCCTTTTGAATTGAACTGAAGAGGTCAAACATCTACTAAATTTAAGGCAGAGTGTCAGACACTGAGGAAACAGAGTTGAGAAATATTTAATAGGAATCTGCATTCTACATCTTATAAATCTCTAAGTCTCTAGGATCATCTGTAATGCCAAAAATTTCTTTTGATGGAAGGGTGATTGAGTTCGGTAAGAGCACATGTGAGAATTACTACTTTAAAAGTATGAAAAGATTGTTTGAAATTGCTGATAATAAAATAATATTTATATGAGTCTATGAAAAGGATTCATTGTGTCCACATTCTAATTAAAATCATAGTTCCTGAAACTAACTATAAAGCAAATCACCAAACCTAATCCTGTGTATACTTGCTTTAACTGTCAACATCTTAGTGACTTCAGTAAAAATGCTGAATTATGGTAAGACCGGCCAGATTAAAAGGTCAAGAAATTATTATACTGAAGAGCTTGCTAAACATAAAACTCTGTCCACAATTAAAAATCAGCTTACCTGATTTTTCAAAGACACAGTAAGTTCCAAAGACGAATTACTGCCTACATCTCCCATAAGGAAATCAAAATACTGGAATGGGAAGAAAAAGACAAAAATTATGACAGAGATTAGTTCTTGTAAAAAAAAATTCAAAAGTGTTCACTTTTAAAACAAATTAATAAAATATTATTAGTGATTCCCCACTCCCATCTCCTCCAAGAGAGGAAAAGCAGCACAATATGGTGGAAACAACACTGGACCTGGAGTCAGTGGGCCTGACTTCAAACTTGATGTCTCCTCTTTACCATCTTTGTGGACTTGGGTTAAATTATTTAGCCTCTTCAAGACTCATGTCCCTCATCTCTAAAACAGAGGGATTAAATTAAATGGCCTCTAAAGTACCTTCTGGGGGCAGCTAGGTGGCGTAGTGGATAGAGCATGGGCCTTGGATTCAGGAGGACCCGAGTTCGAATCCAGCCTCAGACACATAACATTTACTAGCTGTGTGAACCTGGGCAGGTCACTTAACCCCATTGCCTAACAAAAGCAAAAAATAAATAAATAAAGTACCTTCCGGTTCTAAATCCCATAAAACTGTCCAACATCATATAAAGTATTGGAGTATACATACCAAAACTTGGGAGAACACATTTGTCTCAAATGAACTACCTTCCTAGCAGTTCTAAGCCAATAATGAAGTAGTACAGGACATAGCTGTACAAAATCTATAATGTTATTTAATCCTTAGCTTAGGTATACAGTTTTTTGGGCACTGAAACAAACAATATTCTCACTCTGCCCTGGGTCTAAATTTCCTTAATGACAAATTTTTACTTAGATATTACCAAAGGTGAATGCCAATTTTTCAATAAGAAAATATTTCATTGAAAAAAATGTCTCTTATTTTCTTCATTAACGTCATTGAAGCCTACAGTTATGGAGGATACATTGAATAAGGGGACAATTCTTATTCGTCTTGTATATAGAAGTAGCTTATTTACTTTTTAACTGGTCACCAAATGATTTCATGAAACATGAAGATGATAGATGCAGAGATGCAGCTATAAGAAGAATTTGGCATGCAAAATGCTTATCACTTCTTCATTAAGAAAATATCTGTCGGACACATTGAGCCATCGACTGACAGATCTCATGGATAATTCTGCCATGTAAGAACAATCCATTCCTGGAAACATAGTGCAGAGGTCACACTAGAATTCTGCCACTAACACAGGACCTGCTTTGTGCTATTTCTTCTTATTCACTGTTCTCTTTCAAGACATGTTCTTCAAACGGCCAAATCATAAGGTGGAGTGTGATATGCCATGGGAAAAAGTTTTATATCTGGCTGGCATGCTGAATTCCTACACATGTATATGTGTATATGTATGTATATACATACCTATGCACACATGTGTATAGATGTTCAATTTTTCTCTTTTTGGTGAAGCAATAGGGGTTAAGTGACTTGCCCAGAGTCACACGAGCTAGTGAGTGTTATATGTCTGAGGCCACATTTGAACTCAGATCCTCCTGACTCCAGGGTCAGTGCTCTATCCACTGAGCTACCTAGCTGCCCCTAGATGTTCAATTTTTTCAAATGACTAATGATTATTTCTCTATTAAAGAAATACATATGCACATTTCTGTGCATATACACTAAATATACACACATGCATATGCACAGCGATTTAGTTCTTTAAATTTAAGGCAAAGACAATTATCCATAATTTAAATAATTAGGCATCATAGCTGGCCTTGAAGCCAAGAAGACTTGGATTCAAGAACTACCTCTGACACATGGACAACATTAGTCTGGGCAAGTTACCTCTCAGTTTAAGAAAACTATAGAGTTCAAGGCAGAGGAGGTTCCCTCACTTGGACATTTTCTATACTGATGAACTAGGCGGTCCAATTGTTGTCCTTATTCACAAAGTAAATAGTGTCTTGGCTAAGAGAATATATGAAAATTTTCTAAGTTTAAAATATCTATTATACCATTCTGAAAAATTTTGTGGTAATAAACTTGAAGCAGAATGGTACAATGGAAAAAAAATGAATGAGAACCAAGTTCAAATTCCAGTTTGCCACTACGTATCTATGTAACTTTGGCTAGGTCCTACAATCTGCTTAAGTTGCAGGGGCTCATCTACAAAACGAAGATCTGAACTAAAGATTTCATAACTTATGTGCTTGGAAGCTAAGAGAGACACAGGGAAGTATCATCAGTAGAGCGAATGAGAAATTCACTTTTTAAGAATTTTAAGATATATTAGATCTGAAATTACATTATAAAGCAGTAATCATCAAAACTATCTGCTACTAGCTAAGAAATAGAGTAGTGTATCAGTGGAATAGATTAGGTACACAAGACACAACAGTAAATAACCACAGCAACCTACTGTTTGATAAACCCAAAACCTCTGGGATAAGAACTCACTATATGACAAAAACTTCTGGAAAAGCTGGAAAACAATAAGGCACAAACTAGGTATAGACCAACATCTCACACTGTATACCAAGAAAGGGTCAAAATGGGTACCTGATTTAGACATAAAGGGTGATACCAAAAGCAAATTAGAAGAGCAAGTAATAGTCTACTTGTTAAATCTAAGGATAAGGGAAGAATTCATGACCAAACAAGAGATAGAGAGCATTACAAAATGTAAAATAGGTAATTTTTATTATATCAAATTAAAAAGCCTTTGCACAAACAAAACCAATGCAACCAAGATTAGATGGAAGGCAGAAAAGTGGGAAATAATCTTTACAGCAAGTGTCTCTGATAAAGGCCTCATTTCTCAAATATATGGAGAATTGAGTCAAATTTATAAGAAACAAGCCATACCTCAATTGATAAATGGTCAGAGGATATGAAAAGACAATTTTCAGATGAAGAAATTCAAGCTATCTATAGTCATATGAAGAAGTGCTCTAAATCACTTTTGATTAGAGAAATGCAAATTAAAACAAGTTTGACATGCCACCTCACACCTATCAGATTGGCTAATATGACAATAAAGGAAAATGATCAATGTTGAAGAGGATATGGGAAAATTGGGACAGTAATGTACTGTTGGTGGAGTTGTGAACTGATCCAGGCATTCTGGAGAGTAATTTGGAACTATGCCCGAAGGGCTATAAAACTGTGTGTATTGATCCAGCAATACCACTACTAGGTCTGTATCCCAAAAAGAGCATCAAAGAGTGGAAAGGGCCTACATGTGCAAAAATATTTTTAGCAGCCCTTTCCATGGTAGCAAAATACTGCAAACTAAAGGGATGCCCAGCAATTGGGGAATGACTGAACAAGTTGTGGTAATGGAATACTACTGTGCAATAAGAAATGATGAGCACACAGATTTCAGAAAAACCTGTTAAAACTTGTATGCATGGATACAAAGTGAAATGAGCAGAACCAGGAAAACATTGTACACAGTAACAGCAACACTGCGTGATGATTGACTTCTCAGCAACAGTAATTGTCTAAGACAATTACAAAGGACTCATGACAGAAATGCCATCCACATCAAATAAAGAACTAATGAGACACTTGACTCTTACCAGCTGTGTGACCCTGGGCAGGTCACTTACCCCCAATTGCCTCAAATCCCCCCCTAAAAAAAAAATGACAGACTCTGAATGCAGACTAAAGCAAACCTTTTCAATTTTTTTTCATGTTTTTTTTTCCTTTTGGTCTGTTTCTTCTTTCACAACAGTGACTAATATGGAAATATTTTACATAAATGCACATATATAATCTACATCAAATTGTTTACCATTTTAAGAAGAGGGGAAAAGAGAGAGGGAGAAAAATCTGGAACTCAAAATCTTACAAAAATGATGCTAAAAACCGTCTTTACATATAATTGGGAGAAAAATAAAATACAGTTAAAAAAGAAAAAGAGAATTATAGGAAAATTATATTTTAAAATAAAATGTAACAACTCATAAAAATTTTGAAAAATTCCAATTTTGCTGTCATTATCCAGAGATTTTTTTTTCTGCATTCAACATTGATTATATATAGCTTATTTTTAGCTTATTTCAAAAACTTACAAAAATACAGCCAAAGTAGAAATCGTAATATCTTGTCTCACTGCTTTCAGAAATCCACTGACAAGTTCATAGATTATTAAAAAGTAGAAGAGACCATGAAAGTCATTGATTCTAACAAGCCACTTGAGTGATGGGGAAGCTGTGGCCTAAAAAAGTTACAATCTGCCAAGATGATAAAGATAATGAGCAGGGCCAGTATTCAAATCCAGGTTACAGGTCCTCCAAACCCAAATCTAATGCTCTTTCTGTTATCTCACAATGCTGTGTGAAGGAAGGTCAACAAGAATACTTAAGTCAGAACACCTGTACTCCAGTAAAAGCTCTGCCACTAGCTGGTAAGGTAACTGAACCCCCTGGGACTGGTTTCCTCATCTATAAAAGAAAGCACCTGAACAAAATGATTTCTTATGTATCTTCAGCCACTACTTCCACTTCCACTATACACTATGGCTGCATCATGTCAGAATTTTTCTCCCCTCTCTTTTATGAATACTAGAAACTAAGCTGTAATTCTACAGAAAAGAACTGACCCTTGTCTTTTACTTCATTCTTCTTCATTTTCATGGATGCTTCAGTAACTATGACAAAGGCTTTTCCTTCATGTTCTTAAATGTCAATAGATATTTTTAAGAGACCCCTACAAACAAATTTTTTTTGGAGATCTTGAAATTATTTAAGGAAAAAAAAACCAAAGCAAAACAACATCATATGGAATTTTTGAGCTGGTATTAATTTATTAACTATTAACATAATTTATTACTATTAAATTAAACATTTATGTGAAATGAAATAAAGCAAATTTTTATCCAAGTGACATACATTTTACTAATGGGTTCCCATTATTTTGATTTTGCTTAAGGCTCTCACAAACATTTTTGCTGGGCACCTAAACAAAAGTTTTTAGTGGGTAATTAAAACAAAAGAGATTATTGGTCAGAGGCCAAATAAGAATTCCGTTGTGATAGGGAAATTTTTCATTAGTAAATTAACACAAGAAAAACAAATATGTAAATCAAGCACTTACTCTAGGT